TTTTTTTACATACCTTCAGAACAACCGAATCAAGCCCAGTTTTTTTTATGTGAATATAGATAGATAATGTAGAAAAGTCACAAAATCTTATTCCGCTGAGATGAAGGGAACCATTTTTTTTTAACTAAGGAAAAGTTGATTGGGGTCACATTGACCCCAAGGACAGATTGAGGGTTAAACTCATTCTTTTTCAACAGTATGTACATTTACTGTATGCATGTAATAGGCTGAATGACCTACTCCGTTTCTTTGAGATGCAATGTGCTAAAGGTTGTCAACATCGCTTTCTTTTGAGTCATTATTTTGGAGATGAACACAAATTTGGATTAAAATTTCAGTAGTTAATTATGCAATAAAATGTATTTTTATCGCTGAGATGATAGCTAGACATAGTTTGAAAACTATAATGTTCATTAAATGCTACCTTTTGGGGAAAACAGGTAATGCATACTAACCCTATACATTAGTATGCAGTAAGCAGTGCACTTATACACTTCTAGTTGGAATCGAACCAAAAAAATACATGGGCGAAATCTGGTGGTGAAAATATGAAAAATATGACAAACAGTTTAATCTCACATTCTTTTAAAGAGTGTAACTATGTTTTTATTGATTTATTTATATATTTAAATGACTGAAAAGTCTCAGATTACTAGATCATGTTTAGAAATCAGCCCAAATATTCTTTATAAAGTCATTAAAAACAAACCTGATATAAAAGTGACTTACTACTCTTCAAAACTTAAAAAACAAAACAAAACTGAATGGTACTGAAAGATTACAGTATTAATTTACCATGGTATTTATATTGAACGTCAAAGAATATCGCACTTTTTTGTTTATGAAGTTCTATAAAAACATTGATATCAACATTTCTGTCAATTGAAACTTATAATATACAGATAAAGACCTAAAATATGTAAATACGAGCGAGCGAGAGATAAAACTGTCCTATTGTAACATAATCATTCCGATGTTCCACATACAACCGTTTTCAATGTTTTAATATATGTTCATAAGTAATCTCAATATGATTCAGAAATCTTACCTCTCATTAAGATCTTTATGGCGTTATTTTATAGAATAAAAACTTTATTCCGACTAAACAGCGTGAACGGCATCCAAACATATGTTTCCGGCATCACAGCCGGTTGCTATTGGTTTCAGAGGCGGGGATTAATTTGATTGACAGCCCGCACACGCAATCCTCGCGTTGTTTCGCGATCGCGGTGATATTTGATTATAAAACACATCAGAGCCTCTTTAAATGAGAATAGTCAAGTCAAGTCAAGTCACCTTTATTTATATAGCGCTTTTAACAACAGATTGTGTCAAAGCAACTGAAAACAGCATTAATTAGGAAAATAGTGTGTCAATAATGCAAAATGACAATAGTAAACACTAATTTTTCAGTTAAAGGCAGTTCATCATTGAATTCAGTGATGTCATCATCCAGCTCAGTTCAGTTTAAATAGTATCTTTGCAATCATTTGCAATCAAGTCAATGATATCGCTGGACATGAAGTGTCCCCAACTAAGCAAGCCAGAGGCGACAGCGGCAAGGAACCAAAACGCCATCGGTGACAGAATGGAGAAAAAAACCTTGGGAGAAACCAGGCTCAGTCGGGGGGCCAGTTCTCCTCTGGCCAGACAAAACCAGCAGTTCAATTTCAGGCTGCAGCAAAGTCACATTGTGAAGAGGAATCATCTGGTTCCTGTGGTCTTGTCCCAGTGGCCATCTAGGAGACAAGGTCTTCACTGGGGATCTGTCTCTGGGGCTCATCTAGTTGTCCTGATCTCCGCTGACATTCAGGGCTGTAGAGGTCATCTCTAGGTGCTGATCCACCA